TGTCAGAGGTTTTGAGGGACTAATCCAGGGAGCAGAGAGAAAATAAGTTCAATTCTCTAAATCAGGAAGGACTAAAATGTCAATAATATAATTGGCATGAATATATACTCTTCCAAAGTGAGATTAAATCTGGCCTCAGTTGGCTATATCTGAGGAAGATTGCCTGGCAGTTGAGGACGTATTTCCAAACAGCTGCTTAGGCTCCCCTGTGCTATGTACTTACGTAGTGAATCCACTCTATCACGACTTTTTCTACAGCAATTTGAAATATCAGGTTTTGGATCTTGGCCTTTACGGTGCACATGGCCTTGAGCAGTACATTGCCATGGACGCTTAGGGAGGGGGAGCTCTTGCTAAAGCAACACTTGGGAAAGGGGTGGGAAGGCCACAAAGAGCAGCTGAGCCATCTGCCTCAGGGAGCCTGCTTCATTTGGTTGTTCTCTGACATCCCTGAAACGTGTCAGTGCCAAACTCAAGCAGTGCAGACACTCATGTTCATACCCACTTCTCTCCACCCAGATGAACCACAGGGCTCTCAAGCTGCCTGAAAACCATCAAAAACCTCCTTCATGTTGAAGGTGTAAAGCTGCCAGTAACTCACCCTCTCCAGTAACTGGAGAGAAAAATAAACTGAGATTTACAGGTGAAGCATTATCAGTACAAACACAGGCTTATGCTAGGAGCACCTCACTGCAGCCTGTTGCTGGCAGGGGCCTGGTGGGTTGTTTCATGGTAAGAGCACGTGCGTACACAGCACACGTTTTCAAACTCCACCTCTACAAATCATGTGAGTTAGAAAGGTTTTTAAAAAATGCCTCTACTAAAACCACTGAGTCTAGATAGTCTGTCCTCATCACTGAACAGCAGGAGCCAGGACCACTCATGGTCCTGTGTGCTACATCTACACCCATCAGGGCATGAAGCGCTCCTGGGATTTGGTATCTCACCACTCCGCTGCAGGCAGAGGCTGTCCCTCAACTCAGCTGCCTCATCCAAGCAGCTTTCTAGTCCTTTCTTCCCACCTCACCTCTCTGGCACATACTACATGAGTGCCATTCAGTCCCATAATCATAGGACTTTCATGCCACTGAGGCACCCCAAGGGATCCCAACCAGCTGCTGTTCCAGAAGGGTTCCCATAGGCCATATTTGCCATCCCACGGTATCCACACGGACAGTTGTTAATGCCATCTCCCGTGGAACTGGCCACCTCTCCTTTGGGCAGCTGGACCCCGCCTGTGACCTGCTTTTGGAGGCAGCTGGAAACACAGCAGGA